GGGGGAGTCGATGAGTGGGAGGGTGCGTTGACTGATTGGATGTGTGGTGTGTACTGTACGTCACTGCAGAGGGGGAGTTCGATGAGCTGATATCAGAGGTCAAGATAAGCTCCGATGGAATGCTCGACTACAGGGAACTCGTGCACCTGTAAGAAGGAAGACACACACACATGTGGCAGTCCCATGTCCCATGTGTGTGCGCCTGTGTGTGACGTTGCAGCCTGCTGCGTAGAGGCGACTGACTGACCTCCTGGTGCGTTTGTGTTGTTTATTTGTGACAGAGGAGGGAGCAGTGTATATGACTGACACATGGCATGCAGGCTTCACAGGAGAGACACACAAATGGGTCCACATACCGCCACACACACACACACGCATGGATGCATGGAAACACAAATTGGTCAGCCAAATATGACAGCCACCCCTTCCGTCCATCCATCCATCCATCCATCCATCCATCAGTCGTCGATAACGATCTCGATGTGCTGCTGTTGGTGTAGCTGTTGCTGCTGCTGCTGGTGGGCGAAGGTGGCGAGCTCCTGCGGGTCCATGGGGACCCCCTGACGGACATCAACAATCATGACCTGAATGAAAGACAGAGACACAAAACATCACAGACATCCATGCCCACTGACTCACTCCATCAGCCACACACCCGCACCCCATGCTGTTTGTTTCTCTGCACTTACATCGTCGTCGCTCTCATCCTCAGCGTTTTGCCCGGCATTGTTGTTATGATTCTGCTGGTTGTCGGGACGCTCCTCCTCAGCACGCTCCCCACCCGAACCAACACCCACACCCGCTCCCGCCCCCAGGCCCGCAGCCATGCTCGGCCGGGCAGGGCGGCCATTCCCCCAAGCCGGCGCATGACCCCGATCAGCCATCATGTCGTCATCGTCATCGTCTATCACTGCAGCAGCTGCAGCGGCAGCAGGAGCCTGGGGTTCCACATTGCCGTCAGGCCCGTCCAGGATGAGACAGTCGTCATCGTCGTCATCTAGCGGGCCGGCGGCCGCAGCCGCCGCTGCTGCTGCTGCTGCGGGCTGCGATCTGTGGGGAGAGAGCGAGGCCCTTCTGGGTCTGTTTGGGTCCCGCCTGCAGAGCTCCTCGTGGGCCGCCTGGAACTGAGGTGGAGCACCAACTGCACAACGGACGGATGGACGGATGGGGATGGAACAGACAGGCCGTAAAGAGGGTGGGTCTAGTGGGTCTGGTGTGTCATTGTGCGTACGTGCGCCGTTGTTGGAGAAGAACAGGGCCTCCTGCAGGGCCTGAAAGGTTCAACCAATGCACACAGCCAGCCAGCCAGACAGACACACAGCCAGACACACAGACAGACAGATCCTCCGTGTGTGCAGGGTGGGTGGGTGGGTGGAGGGATGGTGGCTGACCTCCACTTCATGGTTGAAGAATTGCTCGAGTCTGGGGTTGACCACCTGGCTCACAGCAGGACCCGTCATGGCCCCGACTTCGTGCTCTAGCTCCCGGATGAGCGCGTCCAAGCGGTCCAGAAACAACTGCATGGCATGACACACAAACAGACAGACAGAGGGGGGCCCATGTGTGAAATATATGGATATGTGAATGGATGTGTGGTGGTGGTGGCCTGACCGACTGACTCACCTCGAAGTATGCCTCTGTTTGGCGTTTGGGCATGCCCCTGCTGTACCACTTCAGGGCCTTCTGCTTCGTGTCGAAGAAACCGTACATCTGAACGTAGGTATGGGCCAGCCACAGGTTGACGGAGGGAGGGAGGATACACATCCACCCACCCCACCCACATGTCTGTCTGGTGTCTTCGGGTGTGTGGTAAGTGCGTCTGGCCAACCTGACCTTCTTCCTTCTGTCGTAGCCCTCGAACAGGAAGTCAAACACGAAGTTGCGGGCCTCGATGGTCGCCCACAGTGTGGGGTCCGTCTCACTCAACACTGACACACACACACACACACACACGTCCCTCCTCCCTCCCTCCCTCCACTGAGATCTCGACCTCTCTCTCTCTGTGTTGTGTTGCCCACTCCTCCCCCCCCCCCCCCCCCCCCC